AGATGCTAGATAATTTCATGGAGGTTAGGTCCATAAAAGGCTATTAGCCAGGGGATAAAATGGTGTCCTTGGCCTCTGTCTGTCAGAGGCTGGAGAGGGATGGCAGGAGACAAATCGCTTGATCATTGTCTTCGGTCCACCCTCTCTGGGGCATCTGGTGCTGGCCACTGTCGGTAGACAGGATACTGGGCTAGATGGACCTTTGGTTTGACCCAGTACGGCCGTTCTTATGTTCTTATTTTACAAATGGGAAATCGAGGCATTTCACAGTTAAGTGATTTGCCTAAGGTCACACCGAAGGGCTGTGGCAGAGCAGGGAATGAAATTCAGGTCTCCTAAAGCGGAAGATAGGTGCCCTAACCAGTGGACCATCCTACCTCACTTCTTGCAGCCCTTTTCCACTCCTTGCAAGTTTCTTCAACCCCTCTGGCGCTCTCATCGCTGATAGTGGTGTAAAGCAAACAGATTTTAAATCTCTTCTGTGCTTGTGGCCATGATAGGGTTTAACAGGTCACAAAGAAGAAGAAAGAACCAGCTTTTAACAAGAGTTCCTAATTAAGGATTTACACACAGAGGCTCAGTTACGCTTGTTGCATAGAGCAGGATAAAACTATAAGCGCTTTAAAACATTCCTCACCGTATACTTATCTGAGCAGCCCTCGGGACCGAGTGCCAATTTTAATGCACGGTTCAAACCTGACTGATCTTGCCTCCATTTCCAAGGAAGAATTTTCTTAGTGCAGTCGCACCGTTTTCATATTTGTTTTGGGTTGTTTAATAATGAACTTTTAAGTGTTGAATGGGAAATCACAAGGCAAGTGAGCTAGCAGGATAAAATACAAAGGCTCCTTCTTTCGAAAGCCCTTGGAGGCAGAAGTTTGAAACAACTGATCTTAAAACCAAAAATATAGACATCTGTGATTGGTTCCACTCCCGCCCTTTTTCATTTTGTTCAGTAGCAGAAGCATACCCAATTGCAGGCTACCACCCAGAGGATAGCGGGGCACCCTCAGTATTCGATTTAGCGGGTCTTTACTAGATCAGCTAAATCAAACCCCAGAAGATCGATCGCCACAGCCTCAGGTATGGATCCTCGGGTAAGTGGAAATGTGGCTGTAGAGATTGCTCACTGTTTTAATTAAACAACCAAGAAGAATTCAGTCCGAAGAGAAGCTGCTCGGATTTTGGCAAAGTCTGACTTCCACAGAAAATTGTCTTCAATTGAGCTGGTCACATTTTCCCTTGGGTGTTTTTTTCCTAGTGAAATCAGGGTTTCAACAAAAAAACTATTTTGTGGTTCTTTTTTTGTGTGGGTGGAAAAAAGAATTTCTTGCAAAAAATAATTTCCCAACATTTTTAAATGGAATTTGTTGACAAACTCATTAATTTTTTCGATGGGCGGGAATATTTTTGAAATTTTTTGTTCCAAAATTGGAATTGTTTGGATCGTTTTCTAACTGGCCAAAGTTGGACATTTTCACGGAACAACGTCCAGATTTCCAGCCTGATCCCGAAGGCTCCTAAATTGGGTTCTGAATTGTCGCATCCAGTTATTGTAGACCCAGGCCCTAGAGCCAAACCTCTCCTTGTTTGTTCTCACAACCCAGATCCCACAATCCTCAGCAACCACAAAAGACTGTGGAATACGGTGCACCAAGGGATGAATTTTTTGGCTCTGTGGTGGGGTATGGACCAAAAACAATGGATGGAGAACTGCTGTTGTGGAGATACGGGTCCATTCTCGTAGGGCCCGGTTACACAGCAGTTAATCATTGGCAGCTTGCCCAGGTCAGCTGATTCGGGCTTGCAAGGCTTGGACTATGGATCTATAACATTGCAGTGGAGACATGCAAGCTGTGTCTGGAGCCTGGGTGATGAGAACCCTCCTTCATCGCAGCATCTTGGAGCTCTGACTCTAGCTTGATCTTGAACATTTACCCTGCAATTTTATAGCCCACAGCCTGACTCCCCCTGTAACTAGTCAGACACGACCCCCTCCTCCCTCCTGTCCACTGGCGTCCAGCTGGCTGACCATACCCCTCTGCTTGTCCCTTTTCCTTGACCCCGGTTCTCTTAGTTATGATTTGTGTTAACCCTTCATCATGCCTTTGTTGTGTAAGCCCATGTCATTTATAGTAGGTCCTTTTAGTATGTCAAGTAATCCAATTTATGGGAGGTTTCTGGTTACTCAAGGCCATGAGGCTGGATTTTACCATATTGCTTAATGCAGGCTTCTGAATATGCACGTGACCTGTGGAATGTGTGAGGTGTGAATGGGAAATACCCAATCAAAGGCAGTTTAGGATCCGAGACCTTTTAAGGCCGACAAAGATCCTGGAGAGTAGATATATGAACCGACAAGCGGCCAGGAAGATCATCTCCTTTTGGAAGGGATGTAACCGCATGGGACACCTGGGACTGAATTGGAGGCAGTAGCCAAGGGACTCCAGGGAGAGCCAGGAGCCTCGTGGTCGGTCTCCGGGAAGCTGACGCCTGGCCAGCTCAGTCCAGCTGTGAAATCGGAAGTTCCCTACGCCACGTCTGCAGCCTCCCTTCACTTGCCAGTCTGAATGTGAGGTTATTTCCTGGGGTGCTCCAGGGACCGGTAACACCTCGAGCCTAAGTCAGTGGCCCCGGGCTCACATGTGTAGTGTAGACACACCCAACCAGGGGCCAAAGTGGGGGGAAAGGGGGCAGCTTTGTGCTCCTGGAAGGGGTGGGGCTTTGAGCAGAAGGGGCGGAGCCAGGGGCAGTCAGCCCTCAGCACTACCTGGAGTGTGCCATGCACCCCCCCCCGCCCCCACCAGCTCTTAGCACTGCCCG